CCGCCTCTGCTGCTGGTGTCCTGAAACTCGGCCGCCGCTTTGAGGCCGGACAAGTCGGGCTCCCAATCGTCAGAGTTGTCCCACCCATCGCCGCTGCCGCTCGCCTCCGCCGCCGCCGCAGGCGACGCCCCTGCGCGCCCAGGGCAGCCACCCGACGAGGGCGAGCGCAGTCAGCCAACCAGGCGCGCCTGCGCACAGCCCGCGGATTTTCATGCCGAATGCCTCGCCCTAGGCACTTGGGCTTAACTCACAACCTGGCGGCCCGACCCCGCGCTGGGCTGCGGCCCAGAGCACGCCCCAGGCCGGGCTGCAGGCACGCGCACCCGGCGGCGCCGCTGCGGCGCCTTCAATGGCGTCCTTGCGCAGCTGGTAGGCCTCCTGCAGCAGCTCCTGCGCCGCCTCCACCTCCCCCTGCCGCCGAGGGATGGTTTACGGCGGCGCCAGCGGACACACCGAGGGGCGAGTGGGGCGAGTGGGCTTCTACCCTGCCGCTGGCCTGCTGTGCATGCAATTGCCTCCTTTCCAGCTCGTTGCCAGCGCGACTCTGGTTGCGACGGCTTGCGCGGGCAATGCCACGAGGCGAGGACCGGCTGTGACCCCTTGACCTGCCTTCACACCGACGCCTCACCTTGCCCATTTTCAGGTCAGCCAGGTCACACAGGATGCCCGACAGGAGCGCGCCATCGCCGCCCGCCGCCCGCGTGTCCGCGGCCTGCTGCTCTAGGTCTGCGACGCTTGCCATTGCTGCTTGTGCTAGGTCTGTGGGCGCGCCCTGCGTGCTGCGCCGCAAGTCGGCGCACTGCCAGCGCGGGCCTGTCCAGCTGAGCGGGATGCTAGGCCACACAGAAACAAACGGTCGTTCAACACAATCCTGCACTTGATTTTCGCTGCCCTGCACCAAGGCTACACCTCGACTGCTTCAAGCCGCGGGCCAGCGCACGGTCGTTTAGCAAGGCGCACAGCGCAAACATTTACTCGTCATTGCTTGGATACGTATGTAAATGACGCTGCTGTGATGTTGCAATCGTCTCCCTGACAGCGAGTGACGAGTCACAACCTGGCCGATCTACTCGCTATGTTGACTTGTAGCGAATGCTTACGTGTCTCGTAACAATTTGCTGCCGTGTCACTCGGTTCCTTTTGCGCGCCGCACACAAGCCCGAGATCACATTGCATGCCCCTGTCAGGGGAGCCATTCGCTCCACTCGTGGCTTCGTAGATCCTAACCCATCGCCATATATCAGCTATGGTGTCCTCGGATGAGACCGAGGCGACCACCAGTGTCCACACCGAGCCCGGTCTCAGCGACGAGCGTGATGCGTATGAGCCCTTCCGCGTGGCCAGTCGCAACCCTCTCGTTCCGGCATATCGAGAGTGGTGGCGCCGTAACCCGCTGAACAACCTGCGCGCGTCCGGCAAGGCCAACCTATGGCGCCGCTTTCAGGCGGAGGTAGTCGATGGCAAGACGCCGCTGGAGGCGGCGCAGGGCGACCACACACGCACGCTCGAGGATCTCAAGCGGTGAGTCACGACGCTCTCATGGCCGAGGCCCGCCGACCGTTGAGACATCCGCCGTTGCGACGCGGCGGCCTGCAGCCGCGCTCAGAGCCCTGCTGACGCGCCGCCGCATGCTCCTGCCTGCCTTGCGCGCTGTGCACCCCAGCTTGTGCAACGATTTGACGCCTCTCTAAGGCATGCCCCGTAATCAACGCCCGTGCGGCGCGGGCAGCCTAGACATGCAAAAGCAACCCACCAGTATCCTAACCGAACCTGACCATCAGCAACCCAACAACCCCACACCATCAGGTTTGTCCTGCCCTCCGATATGGAGGAGGTGGGCGAGGACGGCCGCGAGCCGCCCTCCGACGAGATGTGGTGGGGCACCCCAGACCCTGCCATTTACAAGGAGGGCACGTTGCACTTGGAGAGGTGGGCGGCGGCCCGTGGGTGGCGGGCGTGACCAGTGGCGGGCGAGCGCCGCACGCGGCGGCGAGGGAGGGCTGGGCCCGTTTGTGCGGCTAGGAATGGCGGCTGCAAGGCCGGAGGGCTGGGTGCGTTGGCGGCGGCGATGTTGGTGCGGTCCCGGACGCGCGTCGGGGCGGCACGGCTGCGGCAGCAGCGTAGCGGCCGCGATCCGCCGCGTCGTTGGCCCCTGCACTCGCCATCAGCCGGCACATCAGTTACGGCGCCCCGTCATATGCGGCCCGTGCCGCTGCGACGTCCCTCTACTTTCACAGGCAGCAGATTGACGAGGAGTGCGAGAAGGGCAACATCATCACAATGCAGCGGTTCAGGGAGAAGCTCAAGGATGCCAAGGACTGGGAGATAGAGGTGCGAGGGTTTGTGCGTGCACGGGTGTGTTGTACGTCTGTGTGTGTGCGCGCGCGTGAGTGAGTGTGTGTGTGTGTGTTTGTGTGCAAGTGCATGCACGAGCACAACTTGGTGGATGGACGCATGGCGTTACGCACAAACGAGCCGACCCAGCTGGCGGCAGTTCACCTCTCCTCTGAGGATTCCGCCGCCCCTGTGCAGTCTCGCCGTTGTGACATGTTCTCCACACCGCTGCCCTGCGTCACCCCCCCCCTCTCCGACCTCCTGCCACCCACCTGCAACCACACACTTTTCCCTCTAGGTGATGCGCCAGCTGGTGCAGCTGCACCACTTGAAGCACAAGGTGCTGCTGCCCTGCGAGGACGGCACCTCGATCTCATTCTGGGACCTCTATAAGTGAGCCGGGGCCCGAGGGGGCCGGGCAGCCCCTGCCCGGACCTGGGCTTCAGGGTTGGACGCGGCGCGCCATCCATTGCAGGCGGTACACCGCTTGGCGTCCAAGGGGCAAGGCATGCCTCCTGGCTTTGTTTGTCAATGTGTGCAAGCAGCACTAGCCTTTGGGCGCTGTGCCAGGTTGTAGGTCACGGAAGCTTCCTCATGCTTGTGTGCGCAGCGGTAGAGCGACACGTGCGCGCTGCACCCCTGCGATGCGCACGAATGCTGCACACCACGCCTACCCCGGTCACGCACCATGACACCCACCCAACCAATTCGCGGGACAGGTACGTGCACTGCAACCCGCAGCTGGAGGCGCTGGCGGCGCGTGGCGTCAACAGCGTCGACGCCGCCCAGGGCTTGACGCGGTGAGGGCTGCGCGCACCCATCGCAACGGCGGCAGCCGCGGCGCCCGGCGGCGAGCGGAATCACGCGCAATGAACCTGCATGGCACAACAGCTATTCAGCTGCAGTGTCTCCAAAGGCGGAGCCCGGCCTGGCTGCCGGCAGCCGGCCTCTGTTGGGACCGCCCACCTGCGCGTCCCGCCCCATGCGCCTCTCCACCTTCCGCTCGTCGCCCCTCCCGGCACAACCCGCCCTCAACCGCCCCCAGTGAGGACCGCATCCGGCTGCTGGAGGAGGTGGCGCCCTGGCAGCTGGACCCCGAGGCGGACTCCCTGCGGCTGCCGGACCGCGTCACGATGGGGCTGCCGTGGGGGCTGCTGGCAGATGCGCCCTACTACAGCAGGTGGGGCGCTGCAGCGGCCTCGCGGTCTGATTGTGCTTGTGGCAGGCCCCTCGGAGGGCCCAGGGCGTGACCTGGCTATTGCCACTTTGCACTTGTGGCTGTGTTGGGGAGGTGCAGGCTCCATGGCTTGCCATGCACATGACGCTATAGGCAAGGACGGCGAAGGGGCGGGCTGATCCGCCGGAATCTACTGCCACCCTCGGCGCCGCGGCGCGTGCGCCTTGTGAGCCCGCGGCCCCCACGCGCGCGCCCTGCCGCTGGCCCCCGCCCTTTTGACCTCCAGGCGGCCCACACGGTGGCTCAAGGGCCTGGACGGGCGCAAGGACTTTGCCTACGGCCTCTATGTGCACGAGCAGCACGCGGCAGAGACGCTGGGGCCAAAGTGGGCCGGCAAGGCCGCGGAGGAGGTGCGGGACCGCCCGCCAGGCGCTCGACTGAGCCGCCGCCTCTGTTAAGGGCAACAAGCAGAGCAGCTGTTTGAGCTCAACCTCTGCCGGCTGGCACCCTTGGGCACTTGCTGCACGCCACCCCTGCACCTCCACCCCCATCCCGCCTCACGCCATCCCACCCCATACGGCACCCACCGTACCACTCACCCCCCCCCCCCAGGTCTTGGCGGATGAGTCGTACTTTGACGACCTCATCTCCGCGGGGCCGCTGGTGGGGATGACGCTGCTGGCCGTCACCAGCAGGGAGCTGCCCCTGGAGGAGGCCACCAGGTGGGGGACACGGGTTGTGTGTGTGTATGGGGGGATGCGTGTGTGCGTGCGCGTGTGTGTTTGTGTACATGCGCCTTGGTGAGTATGTGTGTGTTGGTGGGGTGCGTGTGTGTGTGTGGTTGTGATTTAAGGGCCCAAAGGCTCAGGGAAAGCTCGCACGCCAACGTCAGGCGACTGAGCGCCTGCGGGAAATGACGGAGTCACCGGCAAGCATCACTTTGTTTGGGCGTAAGCGCAGCCTACGTCCTGAAGGCCAACACCAAAGAGCGTGTGATGGGTCCAGCGGCGGCTGGGGTCCCCCTTGTCTCTTCTCGCACACTGCTGCTCCCTGCCTCAGCCCTCATGACCTCAAAGCACCCATCTGCACTCGGTCTGGGCTCGCACAGTGCGTGGACGCAGCGGCTGGAGCAACACATGGACCGCCTGCAGTCCTCAAAGGGCGCGGGCCCCTCCAATAGCCCCAGCAGCAGCGGCGGCGATGCAGGCGGCGTCGGCGGCGGCAAGGACGTGGCGCCCCTGAAGCCCTGCTGCGCCGCCAAAGCCGGCCGCGCGGCGGAGGCGGCGGCAGCCGCAGCAGCAGCCGCCGGCGGCTTGATACCCCGGCCGGTGTTCGGGCCCGTGGAGGACAGCAGGGCGAAGCTGGCTGAGGTGGCGCGGCTGTTTGACCGGGAGCGGCTGGCGAAGCAGACAGCGCTGCTGGACAGCACGGGGGCCAACTTGCGGGAGGGGTCGTCCATCCTGTTGTCCGCATCACCGGGAGGGGCCGTCATGGTGCAGGGTGAGCTTTGGCAGGCGGCGGAGATGGGCGGCCCTCGATGTTTGCGGAGGTGATTGGAGCGGTGCCAACAGACGTGCGCGCCTTAGCTGTCAATTGTGCGGTGTGTACGGGCGGTCTGTACTTGCATTTGTCATGTTGACGCGGTGCAGCTTCCCCCTTCCCTGCTCTCCGTTCCCTCCTCTTCTCATCTCCCTCCCCTCGCCTCCCTCAACCCTCTCTGCCTCTCGCCCACCCACGCGCCTGCCCCCCTCGCTACCCACGCCGCAGCCATCTCACCGGGCAAGGTGCGGGAGCAGCGGCACTACCTCCTCGGCGCCATCGCGGACGAGCGCCTCAGCGCGGCGCTGTTCGACCTCTTCCTCCACCCAGACCGCGCCCTGGACCCAGCCTTCGCATACAAGTGCGCGGCACGCGCTGCCGCCGCGCGAGCCGAAAATGGCCAGCGGGGACGCGGGCGCGGGCGCCGGCGCTGTTGTGCGACGCGACCGTGCCGCGCTGCTAGTGTTTCTCTGCCAAATTGCCTGGCCCCTGCGCGCGCTGATCGCGGAGCCTTTGTCGTTTGCGCACCTGCTCGCCTGCTGTTTTAATCCTTTGCCCTAAGCTGTCGCCCTCTGTTCATTTGCACCTGCCAGCTGGCCACCTTCCCCATGTTGCGCCGCACCCCTCCCCTGTTACCCTGCACCCAAAAGGGCCGCCTACCAGTCCCTGTGGTACGTCAACGGCTTCAAATCATACAACGCCGACAACAACCCCAACGTGCGCGCCGGTAGCGACCCCGCGCCCCGCGTGCCGCGCCTGCCGCGGCGCGGGCGCGGCGCGGTGTGGGCGCTGCCGGCGCCCGGGGAGGACCCCGAGGCGGCCGCGCCTGGGCTGGTGGGCGGCGTCAAGCGGCGCGTCATGTACCACCAGGTGGGGGCTTGGGGTGTGCTGGTGTATGAATGTGTCTATGTTTGAGCTTATGTGTGGTTATGCGTGTGTGTGTGTGTGTGTGTGTGCTTGTGTGCATGTGTGTGTGTGTGTGAGTGTGTGTGTGTATGTGTGCGCGCGTGCACAACTTGTTGTCAACGGGTGGCTGTGGCTTGTTTGGGGGGTGCATCCGCCCAAGGCGTCCGTCAGTGTGTGTCTGGGTGACGCCGCGCTCTTGTGTGTGTTTGTGTGTGTGTGTGTGAGTGTGTGTGTGTGTGTGTGTGTGTGTGTG